GCTGCCGGAGCAGTGGGACCTGCCCTCCTACATCACCATCATCATCCAGATGGCCAACGTGGGGCCGTTCCTCATCACCCTCATGCACCACTTGCGGCCCGGCATGCTGAAGGAGGTGGTTGTGAACTACACAGTTGTGTCCGTGGGTATCGTGGCCTGCTTGCTCCTGGCCTTCCTGTGGGACTACACGTCCCTCGTTGCTGGGCAGCCCCACAGCACTGCCTTCCTGATCCTCACCTTCTTCCTGGCCCTGGTGGACTGCACCTCCTCCGTCACCTTCCTGCCCTTTATGATGCAGCTGCAGCCCCAGTACCTGACCACCTTCTTCATAGGCGAAGGGTTGAGCGGGCTGATCCCTGCTTTCATCGCCATCGCCCAGGGCGCCGGCATCTCCAGCTGTGTCAATGTCACCCAGACGGTCAACATCACCATTGGCAACGAGACTGTGGAGAGCACCACGTCCAAAAAAAAAGCCACGTCAGCTTCTCCTCCCTCGTCTTCTTCCTCCTCATGGCTCTAATGATGCTGACCTGCTTGCTGGCCTTCTTCTTCCTCACCAGGCAGACCAAGATGTGGCAGCTCTCTCAGCAGCAGCTGTTTCCCAGCACCATCATACTGAGCTCATTTGACCAGATCGCTGACGAGCGAGATGCCTCACAGATGAGCGGGGGCTGCCCGTCCTCAACAGACTCCAAGGGGACCAGGAACATCCTGACAGAGAAGGTCTACTCCTTAGCCCAGCTCACCTTCATCTACGTCATCATCACTTGGGTGACCTCTCTGATGAATGGGGTCCTGCCGTCTGTGCAATCCTACTCCTGCTTGCCCTACGGCAACACCGCCTACCACCTCACGGCCACGCTCAGCTCCGCGGCCAACCCCCTCGCCTGCATCGTGGCCATGGTCCTGCCCTGCAGGTGGGTGGGGGGACGCGGCAGGCTGTGCCCCCAGGAACTTCTGCCCCGAGGGCATCCCCTGCTTTGCAATGGGTTTGGGGGAGGAGGCGCTAGGTGGGAGACAGTCTGTGGGGTGCCCATGTCCCGGCAGCAGAGACACCCCGAGAAAGAAGGATGAAGCCAGCATGGAGCCCCTCATCCTGTGCTGCGGGTGTGCGTCACTCACTAGGGACGGGGTGGCAGTGTTCCTCAGTGTCACTTGTATGTCCCTTGCAGATCCCTGGTCCTGATGGGCATCCTCGCCACGCTGGGAACGGGCTTTGGTGCCTACAACATGGCAATGGCGGTGATGAGTCCCTGCCCTCTCCTCCAGCAGTCCCAGTGGGGTGATGCCACCATCGTAAGTCGCAGGGTCCCTCTCACCCGGGGAGGGTTCTGGGGCCACCCTTGGCTCCAGCCCCACCACCACATCCCCCGTCCCCACGGTGGGGAACCACCCTGAACCTGCTGACCGCTCTCCACCTCCTGTACCACCAGATCCTCTCCTGGGTGCTCTTCACCGGGACGCTCTCCTACGTGAAGGTGATGGCCGGGGTGAACCAGCCACAGTGCACTGCTGTGGTACGGGGCAGTCGAGCAGCTGGGCTCCCTCCTTGGGGCCCTGGTCATGTTCCCCCTCGTCAACATCTACCACCTCTTCCAATCTGCTGACTACTGCAACTTGCAGTGCCCAGTGTGAGGGGTCAGACACCCCTGGACGGCCCCTCTGGCTGGCGTGCACCCCAAAAACCAGTGCAGGCTGAGAAGAAGCAGCACTGGGACCTGGGCGGCTGCTGGTACATCT